CTCCAGATACAAGCAAACTCTGAGGCTCCCGAAACAAACAGTCCCTTGTTCTCCCGAGACAAACAATCGCTGGTTCTCACGAGACAAACAGTCGCTGGTTCTCCCGAGACAAACAGTCGCTGGTTCTCACGAGACAAACAGTCCCTTGTTCTCCCGAGACAAACAGTCGCTGGTTTTCACGAAACAAACAGTCCCTTGTTCCCCCGAGACAAACAGTCGCTGGTTCTCACGAGACAAACAGTCCCTTGTTCTCCCGAGACAAACAGTCGCTGGTTCTCACGAGACAAACAGTCCCTTGTTCGCCCGAGACAAACAGTCGCTGGTTCTCACGAGACAAACAGTCTCTGAGATCCTCTATACAAACATTCATTGGTGCTCTCGCGAGTACAGAAAATGGCACGTATGGCAAGGCAAACTTCTTGGCGGCTCTGACGTATCGTCTGACAGGAAATTCGATAGAGGACAAATTGGTTGTCAAAAAAGCATATATATTTTAAACGCCAGATGAGATTTGAGGTAGTTATGATTGCCTGCTGGACCTGGTCGAACGATTCTAACTGCGGGGAATGTTCAACATTGCGTTCGTTCGGAACATCTTTCCTATATAACATCCATGTAAAGAATAATTTAAAAATTTGGGTGAGGTGCTCCGAACGATATTACGTAATGTATCGAATTGCGTTCGTCTGCAGTTGTAAATACTTACGATCAAAAGCAAACGAAGTCGATACATTGAGTTAGGTAAACATTGGTCTGTGATACGTCATGATGGATTGGTGATAAAGATCTTAACTCGCAGAATACACGGAATTCTTCAAACGAGAAACAAAATTTGTCGGATTTTCTTTAACGAATTACAAAGTTTGTGAATAACTCGAACCCATTTGATATCAAAGACAGGGATTCCCGTATAATTTCAGAGACAGAATTCCCATATAATTACGAGATGAAATTCAATATTCCTTAGGGGTATGTTTCACGGTTTCCAAAAGTATGTACAGCTTTCTCTTGTGTACTCAAGCATATCTAATGTACTAGCATACCTCAGGACTTACTTTGTAGATATATGATGCCCAACACTTACCAAGATTGACTGGCACTTCAGCCTATAATAACGATTTTAATTTTTCAGAAGTAATGACTTTTTAAAAACTTCATTGTCAATGTACTGTTAAAATAAAGTGAACAAATACTCTTTATTATCTTTAGACTACGTCGATTACTAAGTGATCACTCTAAATGTATCAATCTTATTACTTTTCTCAGTTAATGATGTTGTTTTAGTGAAATTTAAGAAATAATAGACAACTCAAGCCTGTTACATTCCGGCACCATATTTTATAAGGTTGAATTGAAAATATAGCAACAAAGTTTTTTGTACATTTCTTATAAAAATATCTCATAATGAGGATTAAATCTACATACTCCTGTCCTAATTGATTACTTTCAATAAATTGCATTAAATACGTTTGAGGGTGAGCTGTACTCGTTCGTGACTTTCCTTGGGTCGTAACCTCCCCGACGGGCCGATGCAGGCCGAAACAACGTTTTTTCTGAAACTCGCTTAACCTTTCCAGGTCTGGTAAAACGTGTCGACCGAATCAGCACCAGACGAATATCAGTATGTGTCACCACAACCATTCTGTTTGGTTATTGCTGTTCCATATATCTGAACACGCAAAACTGTAACACTAGAAAGCAACTTTAAGAACTGTTCTTATATTTAATAGTTGTCTGAATGGGAGACGGTCTTATTACGCTGTATATCAGTCGGTGATAGTTTTGTTTGCACATTATAGGTAGTCGCCTCTTACGATCATGCAGTCGGATACAGCAGGCCTGTTTGTGATGATGTTATTACATTAAACAGCAGTTTGAATATATGATATATTGATTTACTGTGTAACTCACGAATAAAAGTATCCATTCAGCAATGTACTTCAAAGCTAAATTCCGTTGAGCTTTTCTTTGTATTTTGTTGATGATGATAGCTAGTCCTCGATTGTTATGAAGAAACTATTGTCATATAGCATGTTATATTATGTCATATTAATGATGAGAGTACAGTATTTGAAGACTAATTTGACATCCTTCGAAATATAAACTTGAAGGATTGTACAGCTGTGCCAGGATCATGCTATTTCTATGCGTCGATACAGAATGGGTCTACCTTATCATAAATGTATGCCGGGACATGTAAGGAGACGATTGATTGGCGATGCAGATAATGAAACGAACAACAGGAACTACAAGCGACTGGAGGATAGGGGAATGGGGACGGAGATGGAGAGACAAACAGTGCATGTGGACTAGAGGAGGGGGATAGGGGAGGGGGTGGGTGNTGATAAGTAATTCACGAGCGAGAATGTGTAAAATAATCATAACAGCCGTACCTTTCTGTGGCGAGAACTAATTTCGTGCGCCTATAATTACATTCTAATGGTGAAAGAGCAATATTATCTTAGACGAGATTAACTTTCTAACGCGATGCAGTGTGTGATCTTACAGTAGCATCAAGACAGGCGTGTTTGAAGTACCTGTTACATGTTTTATACTGTAAGACCCTGGCGCTCCCAGTGCATATCCTATTAGTTTGTTTATGTTTATTAGATATGTCAAACGCGTGCCTTTTTACAATTTAACAACTGTCAATCATCAGATGGTTTATTTGTGATGATAAAACTCCTTCTCACAGCGACTGGAACGACGCGCGATTTTTTAATTGGACTTCTATCACATAATCATGCTATTGGATGAGAGTAATTCACGGGCTCATTAGCGATGTCGTTTAATGGACGTGTATAAAACTGTCTCCCACGGACAGACCATGTAGACAGCATTCGGAACACCTTGCCCGATTCGGTCATCTTTGATGAAAGGAACTGTAATCGGGGTGAATTGTTCCGAAAAGAGGAACACCTCCCGATTTCATGAAGGAATAGCCAGGATTATTTTGGGGATTATACGGTATATAACCCAAAAATATGTATTTCAAATTTGTTTAATTCCACGAAGCGGTTAATGCGCAAAAGTGTACACATTTTTTTTCAGTAAAACCATATATAACCCCAAAATAATCATAGATATCCCTTATAATTTAATTAAAAACGACAGATAACACTAACCTTGTTAGTTCATAGGTAATGAATATTTCTGACAAAAAAACACCAAATAATTATGCAAAAACTCAACATTGCTCAGTATATTTCATCGCCAAGAAACTTCAACCAATCAGAAGTTAAAATTACAAATACCGCGCCAAACATTGCCGTATACGACGTCATCACTTTTTGTTTTTTTAGGTTACACGATATCACATGACAAACTGTAGCATAGGGACAAAAGCCAAAATTATGTTATATTTTTTGTATTCATGTTGCAACATCCAATTGGAAAATTTTGGCAGAAACAAACACTGTCTAAGGTGACCCCAGCTCTGTATGTCGGTTCTTTGAACTTGCACTCCATGAACGTCTGCACCGAGTCGGATGTTGCGGTTTCTTCTGTTTCAAACAATAAATAGTTGCTAATTGGGCTTAAACTTCTCTAAATTGTCAGCAAATTAATAAAAACACACCTCCCCAGTTTACGACATGACGTTTTTCTTTACCATTCAGTCCGGAATCTATTCTGGACCATTCCTACACCCCTACCGCGTCAGGCCGTACCTCATACAAATGATAGAGGGATCGCTAATACGTTTTTCAAACACAAACTTCAAAGCTTTAAGAACATCGATCCCGCATGTTTTCATGAGAAATTCCCGGGGATCTGAATATTTACCCGTAGTAGTACATATCTAATATATGTTACCGATTGGGGCGTTGTCCCAATAAACATTATGATCTTGGGCGTTCATACACGTTATGGTCCGGAGCGCTCATGGGGGCATTTCATGGTGCTCTGTATAAACGTTATGGTCTGGGGCGCTCATGGGGGCATTTCACGGTGCTCCGTGTAAACGTTAAATTTCAGGGCGCTGAAATTTGCTGCATTTTTGTCCAGATCTTCCAAAGTTCAAACACTTCAAGTGCTTCGTTTTGTTATGAATCAATAAATATTCTTTATTCTTAAATATGTACAGCACTTCTAAAATGGTGTCCCCTCCTCTTTTTCATTCAACGACAATGATATATCCATTCATTTCGAAATTAAACACTCTAGATGAAAACGTCTTTGACCGATTTGTTGATCTCAGATTAGCGGTTAAAATATTTTAAAAGACCAATTTCCTAGTTATCCAGATTCCAGGTATTTAACAGAAACAGAAGTAGCAAAGAAGCAGGCAGTGAAATTCAATACACAGTATTTACAGTTTACCTGGTAACAAGCGTGCGTTTTGAGGTAAATGGGACTTAAGTTGTGATCTGATGAGCTCTGCTGGAACCGCACCCACGTCAGGTCCGAAACGTGATATTGATACAAGACGTTTATATGATTGTTGTTTTATTTTTCTTTAAATACAGCTACTTAAGAATTCAATGTATCGATATCACAGAACCTCGTTAAACCCTCGGAAACCTTTTAGATTGAACGTTTGTTCCAGGCTGTGCGGCTTAAAACACATTTTAACATAAAACTGTTTATTTTTATTTCTTTACTTTTGAGCAAGACTGCAAACGTATCGACTAGCATGCCGTTATAATGCAACAGAAATGTGCACTCTTTGCTTGACAAAGGAAATAGACGTATCCGAAAGCTCGCAAATAAGTTTTCAATGTTACTGTCTGTGTCCAAAACAAACTTAGCATTTAATATTCATATCAAACTGATGTATCTCATTCCGAATACCATTGATCTTATTTCAAAGACATACGTACAACTAATGCAAACCCAACATGAATTTTGCAGCAGTTGTATCGGTTCAAAACCCTCTCTGACATAGAATATTTATGTCGATTCCACTTGTTATCGGCAAGAAACATATACCCCTGATACATATTCTTTTCTTCTCCAGATGATGACGACGATGACATTATAAACCATCTAGAACGTCTGATATGGTGTCATTTGGTACTCTGACCATCGTTCGCGCCATTTCTGTCCGTCTGCTGTTCACGTGCCACGGTCTCGTGTCAATATGGCGGCTGTACTACGTCACACACGACACCAGGTTCTGGTACCTGGGACTGGCCATGGCTTTCCTGCTCATAGAGACGTCCGTCACCCTGGTCAAGAACCGCGGCAAGGAGTGGAAATGGTCAGTCTTATTGTTTATTTAATTCTTTCGAAGGTCACTCTGATAATTTAAATCACCATAAATCGCATTTAACCCAGACATCTTACAAATGTGTCATCAATTATTCCATGAAGTCACTCGATCCTCAATTATTTCACCATATAAATTGACCCTCAAATAATCCTCAAAGTCATATGATCCTCAGTTAGTCCACAAAGAAGTAGTTAACATTTTATCTCTATTATTTAAATGACTGCACAAATAAAAAAAACTGTTTTACAGCAGATTCTACAACTGTATCTTAAATGTACTTTGACTTTACTTTAATATTACCTTGAACTCATTTGACCTCGATCTGATTCGGTCTATAATGATTGGTTTGATACAGATTTAATAAAATCACTCTATCACAGATGTATCTGTTTATTTCTAAGACAGGTTCTGTCCCAGTGTCTGTATATACCTAATGAGCACGGTGCCGTCCATTTGGTTCCTCGAACTACACGAGATGGAGAAGCGAATATCGACCACAAACGACAGTCGTGGACATGCGCAGAATGATTCTCTTGAAGATCTCAGCGCTGAACTTGGAAATGTATTAGGTGTAAGTAGTATATGCGTATTAGGTTTTTTTCAAATCTCTTAGACAAGCTCTGTAACATAGTGTTACGGATACCAGTTCATTGCAGACAATATATTCGAGAATTACACTGTGACTTTTCGTAAATAAAGTGACCTCTCCTTCGTATCTTTTCAATATATAAGTGCATCGCAACTGGGCTAGAGTAGTACTATCGTTAACCAGGAAACTTAGTTTGTTTGGGGAACAGTATAATGATAGGAGGTTAAGGGTTCGAATCCTGGGCCCGTATTCATGAATTCTGCTCTTATGCTAAAGCATGAATTCTGTGCTCGAGCAGACTTTCTTGTAACTCGCTTAAATCAAGTATCATGGTCAAAAAGTCAAGTGTAAACACTGAAAACTGTAGTCACGTACAATAATACATTATAAAAAAACCACCCTAAGATGGCCTCTTCTAAATCATTATGTCGTGTGTCTTAAATCAGTGTCATTGTGTATATCTATTGAAGTGATCGGTTATTCCGTGTCGTATTTTGGCAATTTGACTCACTCAGCACGATCTCATAACTTATCATTTGACAAGAGCTGTTTCTTATCGGTAACCTTTCACCCAGCATTATACAAAGGTGTGGAGACTATAAACCTATTATCTAAAAACACGACAAATCCATGTCTCATATCTCGTTTATTGAACTGAATACACCTTAATTCGAGGTCATATAATAATACCGAGGTGAAATATTCCAAAATAGTGTTTTATATTTCTCATTCCCTGTCGAACATATGAATGATCTGTAGGAAGTTGTCCTGGCCCTCTCGGCAGATAACAGTGTTTACAAAGATTTCATTTGTTTAATTGATTAACCAAACTTTCATCTTTGGATTTAAGGAATCATTTAAAAACTTAGGTTTTAGAATTTTAAACTTATGGAAAATTCAGCCGTTCGGCCCGGACACTGGGGTCATGATATTTGTATTGTTCAACAATCACTCTTGGGCCATGACCAATGAACTACAAGGCCCTGACCCCGGGCTATGGTTATAAACTACTAATCCCTGACCACGGGACATGACCTTTTGGGCCAATTGGTCCTAACCACGGGGACATGACCTTGTGAAACACATGGTCCTAACCACGGGGATATGACCTTTTGGACCACATGGTCCTAATTATGGAGACATGACATTTCGGGCCATATGGTCCTAACCACGGGGACATGACATTTTGGACCACATGATCCTAATTACGGGGACATGACATTTTGGACCACATGATCCTAATTACGGGGACATGACATTTTGGACCACATGGTCCTTACCACGGGGACATGACATTTTGGACCACATGATCCTAATTACGGGGACATGACATTTTGGACCACATGATCCTAATTACGGGGATATGACCTTTTGGACCACATGGTCCTTACCACGGGGATATGACCTTTTGGACTACATGGTCCTAACCACGGTGACATGACCTATGAGTTCCTTGGCCCTGACCCCGAGGTAAACACCTCTGTGCTATTGGGTTCAGGGCACATTTGCGCTTGTAACATTCAATTCACACCAGTAAAAGTGGTTCTAAAATGGTCAAATGATGACGTTTTACTAAACGATATAACCCCTAGATGTACGGTTTTGTATGTTTTGTGCGGAATTCAAATATAAACACCAACAGAGACAGAACAAAGACAACTATTAATTTGTTAATCATTGTATTCTATAGAGTCTTTTATCGGCCCTTTAATTGTCTCAACGTCTACAACTATTTTTGTACATCGCCTGTGGATGTAATACAGGTGTCGTGTCGTCACCGTCTCTACACAACAAACTAACGTAGATAAAGATTCCAGAGCTTCAATAAGTGTCCATTGTTTGTTAAGTTAATTAATTGACGTGAGAAGTTTGAGAACGAGACTATGCAAAGACACACTATTAAGGGTCCCAGTACTACTGCCAAAATCAGTAACAAACCATACATTGGACACTTGTTTACCGGCATGACGATAACATTTGTCATTCATTACTGAACCTAAACACATAATATGTAGAAGTTAAGTGAAAAAGGGTGATATATACATATATATATATATATATGGGGCAAAGAAGTAATTCCAACAGTGTGGACAAGTTTAGGTTGTCAAATTTTCGCATCGATCAGCTCCATTTCAAGACACAGTTTAACAGAACAGTTACATGTACATATACATCATATTACAAGAAGATAGAACTGATATATTATATATATATATAGAAAGATGAAATCAGTCAAATCCAACCTGAAGGGGAAGAAACTGTAGCAACAAAAACTCTACGGTGGAATTCTTTAGTTTTTGCTTGCAGTAGATCAGGACAGGGATCTTTAACAAAAGCCGGGTTTTACTATGACACGTAAGTCTGAGTGAATAGCTTATCGATCGATCGCTAACGCGAGTATTGATAAGATATTGATTAAATTTCAATAGATCAAAATCTGATTGGTTTGTTGGCAACATAGCGCTCATTATGTTTAACCGAGGAGAGATGTGGTCAAGTGGAATATTTAATAATTAATTCATTATCAATTAAATACTTTGTGATGGTTCCAGACTGTAAACGGACAAGAATACCCGATTTAATAGCGTGATAAATTCTCATAGACACACTCGTAGTAATTAAAGTGGCATCCGACCCGGAAAGCAATCAAGGCGTATGCTGTTTGGCGGAATCTCTTAGTTTATCTGGCCAGTCTTTGATAGATTTGTTCCGGGTGTAAATCTAGATAGTCCCTTATAGCTACATCCATGGCGTAAATCTGGTCAATCCTCTAAAGATAGTCACCGTGTTTTCGGCAAGATTGTATTGTTAAATAGATCTAAATCAAAGCGAAATTGATATGTTCCAGTGTAACAGTAGTTGTGACAATCCCACACATACCGCAAGTGAAACAAAATTAAAAAGACATGTGTCTCTGAATATTAAAACACTAGTTTCGTGCTCATAGTGATCAAGGTCTCAGCCGCTATGCTTCGAGCCTGATCATTTTTGTTGAATGACAAATTAATAAATGTTTAAAATAAAAATAAACAAAAAAATGAGTTCCTCGTAAATATCTGTTGGGCTCATACGGTTTGTTCGAGAAACTATAAAGAACTTAGGTTATTAACGTGTGTTAAGTATATACAAGTCGGGGCTCAGCTAAAGCATGTGTTAACTATGTACAAGTCGGGGCTCAGCTAAATCATGTGTTAACTATGTACAAGTCGGGGCTCAGGCTAAATCATGGGTTAACTATGTACAAGTCGGGGCTCAGCTATATCATGTGTTAACTATGTACAAGGCGGGGCCCAGGGTAAATCATGTGTTAACTATATACAAGTAGGGGCTCAGCTATATCATGTGTTAACTATATCCAAGTCGGGGCTCAGCTAAATCATGTGATAACTATATACAAGTCGGGGCTTAGCTATGTACAAGTTTGGGCTCAGCTAAATCATGTGTTAACTATGTACAAGGCGGGGCCCAGGGTAAATCATGTGTTAACTATATACAAGTCGAGGCTCAGCTAAATCATGTGTTAACTATTTACAAGTCGGGGCTCAGCTAAATCATGTTTTAACTATATAAAAGTCGGGGCTCAGGCTAAATCATGTGTTAACTATATACAAGCCGGGGCCCAGCTAAATCATGTGTTAACTATATACAAGACGGGGCCCAGCTAAATCATGTGTTAACTATATACAAGTCGTGGCTCAGGCTAAATCATGTGTTAACTATATACAAGCCGGGGCCCAGCTAAATCATGTGTTAACTATATACAAGACGGGGCCCAGCTAAATCATGTGTTAACTATATACAAGTCGGAGCTCAGCTATATCATGTGTTAACTATGTACAAGGCGGGGCCCAGGGTAAATCATGTGTTAACTATATACAAGTAGGGGCTCAGCTATATCATGTGTTAACTATATCCAAGTCGGGGCTCAGCTAAATCATGTGTTAACTATATACAAGTCGGGGCTTAGCTAAAACATATGTAAACTATATACAAGTCAGGGCTCAGCTAAATCATGTGTAAACTATATACAAGTCAGGGCTCAGCTAAATCATGTGTAAACTATATACAAGTCGGGGCTCAGCTATATCATGTGTTTACTATATACAAGTCGGGGCTCAGCTAAATTATGTGTTAACAATGTATAAGTCGGGGCTCCGCTAAATCATGTGTTAACTATATACAAGCCGGGGCCCAGCTAAATCATGTGTTAACTATGTACAAGGCGGGGCTCAGGCTAAATCATGTGTTAACTATTTACAAGTCGGGGCTCAGCTAAATCATGAGTTAACAATGTATAAGTCGGGGCTCGGCTAAATCATGTGTTAAATATGTACAAGTCGGGGCTCAGCTAAATAATGTGTTAACTATGTACAAGGCGGGGGTCAGGCTAAATCATGTGTTAACTATATACAAGTCAGGGCTCAGCTATATCATGTGTTAACTATATACAAGTCGGGCTCAGCTAAATCATGTGTTAACTATATAGAAGTCGGGGCTTAGCTAAAACATGTGTAAACTATTTACAAGTCGGGGCTCAGCTAAATCATGTGGTAACTATATACAAGTCGGGGCTCAGCTATATCATGTGTTAACTATATACAAGTCGGGGCTCGGCTAAAGCATGTGTTAACTATATACAAGTCGGGGCCCAGCTAAATAATGTGTTAACTATATACAAGTCGGGGCCCAGCTAAATCATGTGTTAACTATATACAAGCCGGGGCCCAGCTAAATCATGTGTTAACTATGTACAAGGCGGGGCTCAGGCTAAATCATGTGTTAACTATATACAAGCCGGGGCCCAGCTAAATCATGTGTTAACTATGTACAAGGCGGGGCTCAGGCTAAATCATGTGTTAACTATATACAAGCCGGGGCCCAGCTAAATCATGTGTTAACTATGTACAAGGCGGGCTCAGCTAAATCATGTGTTAACTAAATACAAGTCGGGGCTTAGCTAAAACATATGTAAACTATATACAAGTCAGGGCTCAGCTATATCATGTGTTAACTATATACAAGTCAGGGCTCAGCTATATCATGTGTTAACTATATACAAGTCAGGGCTCGGCTAAATCATGTGTTAACTATGTACATGTCGGGGCTCAGCTAAATCATGTGTTAACTATATACAAGGCGGGGATCAGCTAAATCATGTGTTAACAATGTATAAGTCGGGGCTCCGCTAAATCATGTGTTAACTATATACAAGTCTGGGCTCAGCTAAATCATGTGTTAACTATGTACAAGTCGGGGCTCAGGCTAAATCATGTGTTCACTATATACAAGTCGGGGCTCAGCTAAAACATGTGTTAACTATATACAAGGTACAAGTCGGGGCTCAGCTAAATCATGAGTTAACAATGTATAAGTCGGGGCTCGGCTAAATCATGTGTTAAATATGTACAAGTCGGGGCTCAGCTAAATAATGTGTTAACTATGTACAAGGCCGGGCCCAGGCTAAATCATGTGTTAACTATATACAAGACGGGGCCCAGCTAAATCATGTGTTAACTATATACAAGGCGGGGCTCAGCTAAATCATGTGTTAACTATATAGAAGTCGGGGCTTAGCTAAAACATGTGTAAACTATTTACAAGTCGGGGCTCAGCTAAATCATGTGGTAACTATATACAAGTCGGGGCTCAGCTAAAACATGTGTTAACTATATACAAGGTACAAGTCGGGGCTCAGCTAAATCATATGTTAACTATATACAAGTCGGGGCTCAGCTAAATCATGTGTTAACAATGTATAAGTCGGGGCTCGGCTAAATCATGTGTTAACTATGTACAAGTCGGGGCTCAGCTAAATCATGTGTTAACTATATACAAGTCGGGGCTCAGCTAAATCATGTGTTAACTATATACAAGTCGGGGCTCAGCTAAATCATGTGTTAACTATATACAAGTCGGGGCTCAGGCTAAATCATGTGTTAACTTTTTTTGAAAGTGAGCGAATGACTATTTCATGAAAGAGTCACACTTTCTTTATCACATAACAATACCACTTAAACTTAAAGAAATGTCCGGCCAATAACGACTTATAAGACACTGTATCTAAAAACAATATTATACATGTATATATCTCTAAAAGCAATTCTAACATATATCTCTTAAAGCAATTCTTACATATATCTCTAAAAACAATACTTACATATATCTCTTAAAGCAATTCTTACATATATCTCTAAAACAATACTTACATATATCTCTTAAAGCAATTCTTACATATATCTCTAAAAATCAATACTTACATATATCTCTAAAACAATACTTACATATATCTCTTAAAGCAATTCTTACATATATCTCTAAAAATCAATTCTTACATATATCTCTAAAACAATACTTACATATATCTCTAAAAATCAATACTTACATATATCTCTAAAACAATACTTACATATATCTCTAAAACAATACTTACAAATATCTCTAAAAATCAATACTTACATATATCTCTAAAACAATACTTACATATATCTCTAAAAATCAATTCTTACATATATCTCTAAAACAATACTTACATATATCTCTAAAAATCAATACTTACATATATCTCTAAAACAATACTTACATATATCTCTAAAAATCAATTCTTACATATATCTCTAAAACAATACTTACATATATCTCTAAAAATCAATTCTTACATATATCTCTAAAACAATACTTACATATATCTCTAAAAATCAATTCTTACATATATCTCTAAAACAATACTTACATATATCTCTAAAAATCAATTCTTACATATATCTCTAAAACAATACTTACATATATCTCTAAAAATCAATTCTTACATATATCTCTAAAACAATACTTACATATATCTCTAAAACAATACTTACAAATATCTCTAAAAATCAATACTTACATATATCTCTGAAAACAATACTTACATATACCTCTAAAACAATACTTACATATACCTCTGAAAGCAATACTTACAAATATCTATGAAAGTAATACTTACATATACCTCTAAAACAATACTTACATATATCTCTGAAAACAATACTTACATTTATATCTGAAAACAATACTTACATATATCTCTAAAACAATACTTACATATATCTCTAAAACAATACTTACATATATCTCTAAAACAATACTTACATATATCTCTAAAACAATACTTACATATATCTCTAAAACAATACTTACATATATCTCTAAAACAATACTTACATATATCTCTAAAACAATACTTACATATATCTCTAAAACAATACTTACATATATCTCTAAAACAATACTTACATATATCTCTAAAACAATACTTACATATATCTCTAAAACAATACTTACATATATCTCTAAAACAATACTTACATATATCTCTAAAACAATACTTACATATATCTCTAAAACAATACTTACATATATCTCTAAAACAATACTTACATATATCTCTGAAAGCAATACTTACATATACCTCTAAAACAATACTTACATATATCTCTAAAAACAATACTTACATATATCTCTAAAACAATACTTACATATATCTCTGAAAACAATACTTACATATATCTCTAAAACAATACTTACATATATCTCTGAAAGCAATACTTACATATATCTCTGAAAGCAATACTTACATATATCTCTGAAAGCAATACTTACATATATCTCTAAAAACAATACTTACATATATCTCTAAACAAATGAACATTAATTATACATATATGCCATTTACCTTTTAAAAAATCTGGCTTTGTTATAGGACACCTGCATGTACATGTATATTTGATTAATTAGATTAGTTAATAAACCGCATGTGATATCTATATAGACCAGCCCTGTACAGCTAACAGGGGACCTGGGAATGTGTTTAAGAAGGATATGTATAGACCTAACTTGATATGTAGAATGAAATATTAGATATGTTGAAGGCTTAGATATATACTTGGTAAAATGTCGACCAACACTAATGGAAATGATGGTGTGGGTTGGCATATCTACCCAGTATTGATATAAAGCCTTAGCATGTCTACTTCAGCCACAACTCTCTACAGGAATGGTCAAAACGTATCCTATTTTTACGAACCAACTTATCGAAATGAGATTCCAAGCTCTCCCGTTAAGCAGTCTGATCGCGCCATATATCATACTGTTCGTAATTTATTGACCACTTATTCATTTTTTAACATTAAATACCGGAAATTAACGGACCCAGAAGCGAGGGAATACCTTGTTGTATAACACTAACATGTACATGTAGCTCTCATAACACAGAGAAAGTAAAATGGGCTCTTCACGTTTGAAAATTTTGATGTAAGTATACAATTGATTTGCGACATATGTGCTTTTTCTGGCTGATGTTTTGTCAGAGTGTAAATGTACTACCTGTACTGTTGACTGTCAGAGTGTAAATGTACTACCTGTTCTGTTGACTGTCAGTGTAAATGTACTACCTGTACTGTTGACTGTCACAGTGTAAATGTACTACCTGTACTGTTAGCTGTCACAGTGTAAATGTACTACCTGTACTGTTGACTGTCAGAGTGTAAATGTACTACCTGTACTGTTGATTGTCAGAGTGTAAATGTACTACCTGTTCTGTTGACTGTCAGAGTGTAAATGTACTACCTGTACTGTTGACTGTCATAGTGTAAATGTACTACCTGTACTGTTGTTTTGTCAGAGTGTAAATGTACTACCTGCACTGTTGACTGTCAGAGTGTAAATGTACTACCTGTACTGTTGACTGTCAGAGTGTAAATGTACTACCTGTACTGTTGATTGTCAGAGTGTAAATGTACTACCTGTTCTGTTGACTGTCAGAGTGTAAATGTACTACCTGTACTGTTGACTGTCAGAGTGTAAATGTACTACCTGTTCTGTTGACTGTCAGAGTGTATATGTACTACCTGTACTGTTGACGAGGCGCTTACAATCCACTAAAACTACAAAATATAGGGGAGAACTCAACTCCAAAAGCTTTATTAGTGGTATCATTTGGGATGACTTATTCGTACTGCGTCATACAATCTTTTTTAACAAATAAAAATGTAAATGATTATAAGGAAAAACATATACAGTATGCACTTAGTTTGGTTTAATTTTGTTTAACGTCCTATTAACAGCTGGGATCATTTAAGGACGTGCCTCCATGTGTGTAGTGTATGCGTGCTTGCGTGTGTGTATGCAGGAGACAGGGTATGTTAGTGTGCTGGCCTCCCTGTGATAGCGCGGATCTGATGCCGACTTTATAGTGTTATCTCACTGAAATACCATGCCGAAGGAACCCATCACAGCATTCCGCCCGGTCACATTATACTGACAACGGGTGAACCAGTTGTTACCACCCTTCTTCTTAATGAACGTTAAGCATGGAATAACAACTACCATTTTAAGGACTTTGGTATGTCCTGGCCTGGGGACAGAACCCATTGCCTCCTCACCTGGGCGAACGCTCAACATTCGAGCCAAAAGCAATGTGTTGCCAAGCAAGGCGCTAGGATATAAAAGAAAGTTGGAAGTAGAAAGAAAGATAAATATCCCAAATATTGCAATGGGCGAAGCAGATTTATTTTCGTCGCTTCTGTGTCCCAAAAATAGAGGATATCAAAGCAAATCTCCAATTCCGCAGGGGTCCCACATTAGTCGCCTCCTACGATAACAGCAGGTGTATTCTTTCCCGATCCCCCACCTGCAGGGGCAGTTAACCGTATGAGTGGTAATTAATATATTTTCTTTTAATGACTAAAAAAAAGTAGTCATACCACACATAACTACGCTAAATGGATTCGTGGCGATTCTGAGATTGCACTAGACATATGTACTAACTGTTTTTTTTATAACCTTGTTATGCTTGTCGAGGTCAGCACAGATTGTACGATACATTTGTAATTTGTCATATCTGGCGTACTTTCAGGTCCGATTCGAGATCAGAATCCCGATCTTGTTGTCGCCTGACCAATGGATCAGGACTCTGGAACAAATCCTCTTGCTCATCTTGATCCTGGGACGCTGGATACTTCCGAAAGGAAAATTGACGCATGACCAACTATCTCAACTGTTGTTAGTTTATATCGGCACGGCTGCAGATATCGTCGAGTTCTTTGAAGCGTTTAAAGAAGAGGAGGTAAGAATGTGATTAGCAAGCCTATTGACACATATTACTCGAACGCAGAGACATCCCGCAGTAAATTACCATCTTTCATTTCCGGTCCATGTATGTATTTATCTTTATAGGACATGATAATACTGCGGTGTTTGCAGACATGTTAAAATTGCTCGGCTGGAAGACATCATCATTCATTTTATTTAATTCACATTGCAAATCTATTTTTCCTGAATGGCGACCGAGTTATCACTCTGAGAGCAGCCTATGGAACATGTATTGATTCAGCACAAGCTATAAGTTAGCTAATATTGCAAAGTAATTTCCTTTCTGAAATAAAAACGAAACGGTTTACATCATCTTGATTAAAGATGCACTGGACGGTCTCGTCTTGACGTGAGCTCTCCCATCTCGAGACGAGACCTGACACTGCGGAACATTTTATTACTTTGCACTATGATCTCGGGTTATGCATTTAGAAACCAAGGACAAACAAGCATTACGTAAGGGGTATCGATGTGACGTCAGAAAACTGAGTTGGTCACTGCCAAGTGATTTTTCACAAATGCCAAATTGGAAACTCTTATGTCAAAATAATTTTTATCCTAATTACTTATGATATTTTGCCTAAATCTAAGAATCTGCAATGTTATTTACATATTTTTTTAGAATAGTGTATATTCATCTGATGCAGTGTTCGTATCCGGACTGCAGTTTTGTCGTTATCTAAACACGTTCTATTCGAAGCAATTTTATTGAGCTAAACAAATCTGTAATATGAAATGTTTTGGTGCAGTTCTTGTGCCTCGACTCAGTTGACGCTTCGGGTCATATTAAGAATCTACGTGTTAACTATTCGTTTCTAGTATTCAGTTGATACTTTGAATCGTAAGATCAATTTGTTTATCGTTTCTAGCATTATCTGTTGATGTTTTTATTTGATGTTATCCTATAATCTGTTAATCGTTTCAAGCATTATGTTGACGTTTTTGACTAATCACGATCAACTGATCTTTTCCAACATTGAGTTGACGTGTTTGCTTGTAGTTATATATGCATTTTTGTTGTCAAGTTTTAACATGAACTGATGTTTGGGGTGTTATAAGGTCTTTGTTTATCGCTTCTAGCATTAAGTTGAACATTGAGGTTGTAATAAGGTACGAGCTATCTATTCACGTGACGCTTCGCGCTGTAATTAGTATTTACCTTTCGTTTCTAGCATTAAAACGGAACTTTGGTGTAAAATTATGTGCATATTTACCATATCTATCATAAAGCAGACGCTTTTGGATGTATTTTCGTAGTCAGCCTCGATTTTTAGTATTAAGTCGAAGCTATTGGTTGTCTTTTCATAGTCATCCCAGTTTCTTGTATAAAGTTGACGCTTTTGGTTTGGGTAACGTATTTAACACGCTTTGAGAGGTATTGCAATTAATTCGTCGTTTAAAGCATTAACTTGGCTTTTGGCAGTATCTGAGTATTTATGTTTATAGTTTTAATGCCATTCTACATTTTAAATCTTCTTTACAAAATTTGAAATACTTTTCAAACTCATTATTTTCATTTCTTGCCAGGTCCGTTACAACAAGATGCTGTGTATTATCATCCTTGGATTGTGGTCACTGAGTCTCATACAGTTCACGTTGGTATTGACTGCTGCCAAAGCCCGTCGGGATCAATCTGGCCTCGTGACCGGAAACGAGGGAGGGCGGCGCCAAAAGAACGGATGTTGCGCAGCAGACGTTTACGGAATCCTCATATCCATTTTACTTCAAGATCTCCCCTTTCTAGTACTCCGACTTTTATTGATTTTGAAGTATAAAGTTCTCAGTTACACTAATATGTTTTTCACTTCCAAGAACACACTCGTGATAATACTGTTGCTGTACCGACTTGTTGTGGTTTACATCGAACGTAAGAACAACAAACCGAACGCTTTAGATCACCGAGAGTACCCGCAAGACGATTTCGGAACTCCTCGAGAGGTAATACCAAGAAGCCACAGTGTCAGTCATAACATACGTCAGCCACCGTACGGAGGCCATCTTCCAGATGACAAACAATATCTGATGAAGACACTACCTCGTAGTAACAATCACAATGATAACAAACCAAAAATGTACAAACTTCGCCAAGAAAAATATCAGTGGGGAAAAGATTACCACTTTGAGCAAGTAGATGGTCGAGTGTAAACTGAAGACAAAGGTTCGGAAGACTTATTTATGTTTACACGTGAGTTTAATGGTTATATCTTATCTTGGTTTTTAATGAACACCCGGGATTAATGTTTTGACTGCATAACTAGAGTTACTGTATGACAGAGTACTAAGAAACTGTTACAATAGGAATGTTACATCGGATTGTAAGGTTGCAATAAGTACCTAGATACAGTGGAATTTAATAAGCTAGTCATTCGTTATTCCGGACATCTTCGAGGAACTGCACGTTTCAGCTCAAACTGGCCTTCGTTATCCAAAGACAGCATCAGAATACCTGTACGGACTACTTTCCGGGTGATACAAATACGAATTGTTACGGAATCCTGAATAACTTTGATCTCAGAATAATTTTATATTAGAATTAAACGTTCAGTGCAGATAGCTCTGTCTGTCATCAGCCTAGCGATTGGTCAGTTTGTAATGTATAGATCCGACAAAAAAACACTAACTGTGAGGTGTCGATTCTGTCAGAAAACAATCCCAGGATTCAGAGAAGGACATTTATAATCAAGAAGGTAACTCTTGGTATCCGAAGATGGTGATAATGTAAACTTTTAACGCGACACACGGGAACAGCACACCGATAAACGGGAGATAACTCCTTCCGAAAGAAAACATGTATAGTGCCATTGGGATATCCTCGATATCAAGGGGTTATGTTCACTTTCGCTCTCTACAGCCCTGGAATATGTCATAGCAAAAGTGAAGGCTCGGTGTGCGCCACCTTGTCGATCAGACAAGGAAACTAGCTCGATCCTTTGATGTACATCAAAATAATATCGCGGTCACGTAACGGTAAAAATGACAGGCTTTGAAGTCGGGCGTCTCTCCTTTGTAATCTTCTAAGGACAGGTATCAGCCTAGCGATTGGCTTTCTTCGCGCCTTCAATGTTGCTATGACATATCTCAGGGGTGTAGAGAGCGAATGTTAGCGTAACCTCTGGATATCGAGGATGCCATTGGGCTGTATATTTATACAACGTGAAAAATCAACCATTTGCATTCATTTTGCTGATTTCAACATTCCATTTACTTTTCATCATTCAATGATATTCATGAGTGTGTAATGCACAATCTTTATTGTTGTTAGACGACACTTACAGTCAGCGAGAGTTATCACCCTTATTGGAATTTATATTTACGTCTCGTGCGTTTATATTTACCGCCTGGGATAGCAATATAGACGCAAATTATAGGCAAGAGATTACCATTATATTCATGAGAATTCCATTCATGGTGTGGCAAAACTATAAACAGCCATGTGTGTTATTATGTTACATAATTACGTTAAGACCAAACTGTACATAAGCGAGCATGTAAACTTAAGCTTTAAATATTTGACCACATCCCTTGGATAACATATGATAGATGCTGAATTTGCTCTATGTATTTAAAAAATAATCATCCGAAGTTTTAGTTTAAACATATCTTACTGTACAAATATACAAATTGATTTGACAACAAGTTATTACAACTTAATAAAAGTCCTCTCCTAAATACATATGGTAAATACAATGTATATGTTTTTTGGGGAACGGGATGAGGATAGGGTGGAGAAGGAAGGGTATGGAGGTGGAGGGGAGGGGGGATAGGGAAGGGGGGGGGGGGTTACCTAGAAAAGAAATCGTGTAAACTGTGAAAAAGGATCCGCATTTGAATACATTATATATCATACAAAATTTCATGACATGCAGCCCGGTATAGTAATTTTATAAAGCATCCGAACCTACAACATTACCAAGAGGACCTGATACTACTTTCCCCATTTTGCTATACTACTTCAGAATACGTTGACAGCGTCTATCGAGCTCCTCCTCCGGCTGAGATGGATTTCATACCATGACGTCAATTCACAGGCACGCGCATTTTGAAATCAGAATGGTCTACACACGTTTGGATATCAAAGGTTACTTAGTGAATTGATAGAGCGGCTTGTTGTTTAGATATATAAGATATTAGATATATTATATCGTAAAACTATATTATTATATAATATATAAAGTCTGCTATAGACCACCGGTACGTACGATCTTTATATGATTATAGTAACTTTATAAATTATAACCAAAACTATGATAATGACAAACCACGTGTGTGTAGTACGGATCTATTGTACAGAGCTTATTCCATATAGTGTACACAGGGGCCAGGTGACTTTATAGTAGTTTTTATTATATAATTTAGCATTATTGTAAAACCATTGTCAATATATCAGTGAGCTTCGGTTTTATAACCACGGCCTTTTTAGTATAATAATTTAATGAGTAAAATTGATAATATATCCCTCATTGGTCTATAGTGAATAAAAAACAGGTAGATCAAGGATAAAGGATAGTTTATTTACATAAAGAAAAAAGTATTCATTACATATAAGCCACCCTACTTTTGTCACAGAGCTGGTCGCTATTACGATTGATGGGCACTCATAATGACATGTTATAACATAATATCGTGATTTCTTTTAGTTTTGTTGTTGTTGATGCTAATTCTTATAAAAATGTGGTCATTTATAGCGTGAAGAAATCGTGGATAATTTTAAAATTTGTTTGTATTTCTCTAGTTATATTGTTTATATAATAACTGTAACTGAAGTAAAACAGTAGTGTCTGCTACCATGGTGAAAAACTAGTTAATGTAACTATAGTTATATCATAGTAACTGTAACCATAGTAATACCATAGTAAATGTAATCATAGTAATACCACAGTAACTGATACCATTGAAATACCATAGTAAATGTAATCATAGTAATACACTTATGACTGATACGATAGTAATAACACAGTAGATGTAACAATAGTAATACCCTAGTGACTGATACAAAAGTAATACCATAGTAACTGTAACCATAGTAATACCACAGTAAATGTAACCATAGTAATACAATAATAACTGATACCATTGTAATATCATAGTAAATGTAACTACAGTAATACCATAGTAACTGTAACCATAGCAATACAATGGTAAATGTAACCATAGTTATACCCTAGTGACTGAATCCATAGTGATACCATAGTAAATGTAACCATAGTAATACCATAGTAACTGTAGCCATAGTAATACCACAGTTACTGTAATTACAGTAATACCATAGTAACTGTAACCATAGTAATACCATAGTAACTGTTACCATAGTTATACCATAGTAACTGTAACCATAGTAATACCACAGTTACTGTAACCATAGTAATACAATAGTAACTGTAACCATAGTAATACCACAGTTACTGAAACCATAGTTATACCATAGTAACTGTAACCATAGTAATACCAAAGAAAATGTAACCATAGTAATACACTAGCGACTGATACCATAGTAATACCAAAGTAAATGTAACCATATTAATACAATAGTAGCTGTAACCATAGTAATACCACAGTTACTGTAACCATAGTAATACCAAAGTAAATTTAACCATAGTAATACAATAGTAGCTGTAACTATAGTAATACTCTAGTGACTGATACCATAGTAATACCAAAGTAAATGTAACCATAGTAGAACAATAGTAGCTGTAACCATAATAATACCACAGTTACTGTAACCATAGTAATACCATAGTAACTGTAACCATAGTAATACCACAGTTACTGTAACCATAGTAATACTCTAGTGACTGATACCATAGTAATACCAAAGTAAATGTAACCATAGTAGTACAATAGTAGCTGTAACTATAATAATACCACAGTTACTGTAACCATAGTAATACCATAGTAACTGTAACCATAGTAATACCACAGTTAATGTAACCATAGTAATACACTAGTGACTGATACCATAGTAATACCAAAGTAAATGTAACCATATTAATTCAATAGTAGCTGTAACCATAGTTATACCACAGTTACTGTAACCATAGTAATACCAAAATAAATTTAACCATAGTAATACAATAGTAGCTGTAACCAAAGTAATACCAAAGTTACTGTAACCATAGTAATACCATAGTAAATGTAACCATAGAAATACCACAGTTAATGTAACCATAGTAATACAACAGTTACTGTAACCATAGTAATACCACAGTTACTGTTACCATAGTAATACCACAGTTACTGTAACCATAGTAATACCACAGTTACTGTAACCATAGTAATACCAAAGTTACTGTAACCATAGTAATACCACAGTTACTGTAACCATAGTAATACACTTGTGACTGATACCATAGTAATACCAAAGCAAATGTAACCATTGTAGTACAAAAGTAGCTGTAACCATAATAATACCACAGTTACTGTAACCATAGTAATACACTAGTGACTGATACCATAGTAATACCACAGTTACTGTAACCATAGTAATACACTAGTGACTGATACCATAGTAATACCACGGTAAATGTAATCATAGTAATACAATAGTAGCTGTAACGATCGTAATACCACAGTTACTGTTATCATAGTAATACACTAGTGACTGATACCATAGTAATACCACAGTTACTGTAACTATTGTAATACCAAAGTTACTGTAACCATAGTAATACCAAAGTAAATGTAACCATATTAATACCACAGTTACTGTAACCATAGTAATATCACAGTTACTGTAACATAGTAATACCAAAGTTAATGTAACCATAGTAATACCAAAGTTACTGTAACCATAGTAATACCAAAGTAAATGTAACCATATTAATACCACAGTTACTGTAACCATAGTAATACCAAAGTTACTGTAACATAGTAATACCGAAGTTAATGTAACCATATTAATACCACAGTTACTGTAACCATAGTAATATAATAGTAGCTGTAACCATAGTAATACCACAGTTACTATAACAATAGTAATGCCACAGTTACTGTTACCATAGTAATATAAAAGTGACTGATACCATAGTAATACCATAGCAACTGTAACCATAGTAATACCATAGTAAATTTAACCATAGTAATACCACAGTTACTGTTACCATCGTAATACCATAGTAAATGTAACCATAGTAATACCACAGTTACTGTAACCATAGTAAAACGGAAGTAAATGTAACCATATAGTAATACAATAGTAACTGTAACCATAGTAATACCACAGTTACTGTAACTATAGGTATACCACAGTTACGGTAACCATAGTAAAACGGAAGTAAATGTAACCATAGTAATACCGCAATTATTGTAACCATAGTAATACCACAGTTACTGTAACTATAGTTATACCACAGTTACTGTAACCATAGTAAAACGGAAGTAAATGTAACCATAGTAATACCGCAATTATTGTAACCATAGTAATACCACAGTTACTATAGTAACTGTAACCATAGTAATACCACAGTTAATGTAACCATAGAAATACCATATAGAATGTAACAATATTAATACCACAGTTACTGTAACCATAGTAATACCACAGTTACTATAGTAACTGTAACCATAGTAATACCACAGTTAATGTAACCATAGAAATACCATATAAAATGTAACAATATTAATACCACAGTTACTGTAACCATAGTAATATAATAGTAGCTGTAACCATAGTATTACCACAGTTACTGTAACAATAGTAATTCCACAGTTACTGTAACAATAGTAATATAAAAGTAACTGATACCATAGTTATACCAAAGTAACTGTTACCATAGTAATACCATAGTAAATGGAACCATAGTAATACCATAGTTATTGTAACCATAGTAATACCATAGTAACTGATACCATAGTAATACCACAGTTACTGTAACTATAGTAATACCATAGTAAATGTAACCATAGTAATACCATAGTAAATATAACCATAGTTATACCATAGTAAATGTAACCATAGTAATACCACATGTACAGTTACTGTAACCATAGTAATACACTAGTGACTGATAGCATAGTAATACCAAAGTAAATGTTATCATAGTAATACACTAGTAGCTGTAACCATAGTAATACCGCAGTTACTGTAACCATAGTAATACACTAGTGACTGATAGCATAGTAATACCAAAGTAAATGTAACCATAGTAGTACAATAGTAGCTGTAACCATAGTAATACACTAGTGACTGATAGCATAGTAATACCAAAGTAAATGTAACCATAGTAGTACAATAGTAGCTGTAACCATAGTAATACACTAGTGACTGATAGCATAGTAATACCAAAGTAAATGTTATCATAGTAATACACTAGTAGCTGTAACCATAGTAATACCACAGTTACTCTAACCATAGTAATCCCACAGTTACTGTAACCATAGTAATACCACAGTTACTGTAACAATAGTAATACCAAAGTTAATGTAACCATAGTAATACCAAAGTTACTGTAACCATAGTAATACCACAGTTACTGTAACCACAGTAATACACTAGTGACTGATACCATAGTAATACCACAGTTACTGTAACCATA